CAACCAGTCAAACCATATAATTTTTTAGCATGTAGATTTGCAAGATCGTGGTTTCCAAATTAAAAAAAAAAAAAAAAAAAAAAAAAAAAAAAAAAAAAAAAAAAAATGAGATTTCATGATTTGTTTTTGACTTATATATGTATCTTCATGATAGAAGAGACTGAATTTCTCAATACAGTTGTAAGATAAAGGAAGAGCAATTGGAGCAAAAAAACATATAAGGATAGAAGGGCAGTTTAGTCATATTATTTACTAAAATAAAAAATTGAAGCCTTAGCCAAAGTAGGGATGACAATTTGTACTACCCCCTCCCATCCCTAGGTACAGGTATAGAAACAATTTATGTAACGTAAGGGTAGGCGTGGATACAGATTTTAAACTTGGGCTACGAGATGGGTACGGGCTTCAAGAAACATCCGCCCTGCCCTGCTCCGCCCCGCCCCGCCCCGCTCCACTCTTTATACTTTATTTTTTTAAAAATATAAATTATATATATAGATGTCTATATTTGTTATAAGTGTATGCACATTATTATCTTCATGTATGTATAAATATATAATTTATATATATATATATATATATATATATATATATATATATCATTATTTACATTGAATAAAATTTATAAATTTTATCAATACATTTAAAGAGTAAAAAATAAAAATAAAAAAATGTAAATGGGTCGGGGCGGGTACATTCATCTTTTAACGGGCATGAATATGAATTGTGAAATTAAAATCCGTCATAGATATGGAATAGATATAAATTTGTACATAATTAAACAAGTCAGGATATGAATTTAGACAAATTTACTCCATACCCATCCCATTGCCATCCCGACATAGACTAAAGAAAGTTTATGAATTGTTAATATCACCTCCAATTTTTTATTTTATTGATAAGTGTGAATTTTTAAATTTATTCTTGCTGAAAGACAAAATGATATTCTGAAATTAGTGGACTTATTTAATAAAATAAATATCAAATGTTTGAAAGATGATTCACGGGCCCCACCTCTGGCCAATACAGTTGCCACTCCTACAATCTAGTCAGACATATGGGCTGACAACTGTAATCCCCACATTATTAACTACCAAACATGTGCATTCTCCCGTGTCCTCTTAACTTATATTCTAAAAGAACATGAGCATCATTCCACACTTAACAAGTTAGGTATTAGGCAGAGATGCCATATCCTTCTTTAACATCGCAATCTTATCCTTTTGTACATTTACATACATATGTATACACACAGAACAAAACTGTTTGGAAATGATTAAATATACACAACTTTATTAATTATTGTACATATACTTAACAATAAGCCTAGGAGAAAATCATTATCCTTATTTTTAAATACATATACAAAGAGAACAAAAATTACACGTCATTGCATCATGACTTTGGAAGGATACAAACACTGTACTAATAACTTAGTGGGGCCAATAGTAGGAATTGAGGGTTTCATTGCATATTTGAAAACGATTAAATGTACGGGACTTTATTTGGAAATGATTAAATGTGCAGGATTTTATTGATCATTATATATATACTTAACAAGTAAAGTATTAAGCAGACTTGTCAATGTCATTATCTAGAACAAAAATTACAGGTCATTGCATTCTTTGAAAGGATCACATACCTACTAATAGCTCAGTGGGGCCAATAGTGGAACTGAATTTTTTTTTTTTTTTTCCTGTATTATATATTTACATACCTATGTTTACACATAGAACAAAACTTAGTAACCTACACGTCATTTCATATTTGGAAATAATTAAATATACACAACCTTATTAATTATTATATATATAGAGGGAATTAATAAAATAAAATAAAAAATTCACTATTGCCTCACATAATTTTCTTGATGGGTTCTGAGATGTACACAGCCAATCAACATGCATATATTTTCATTAGCCTTATCAACACACAAGTAGATGTACTGAATGTAACTTAGGCGACCACTAGATGTATAAACAAATATATGAACAGAAAAATATATGCATTCTGCATGTGACAAGAAAGAAAAAAAAAATGCATAAAAAGGTGCAGTGTTACTTGATTCGTCAAACATGGAACCATGCCAAGTCCATAACTTTAGCCGCAAATCTTTGAATGAAGAGTCCAAATCACGTTCGTGTGTTACTCTCAATCCCTAACAGTAAATTAGTGACTAATTGGATCCTACTTTCTCACAATGTCTTCAAAACGGCCATCAACAAACTTATTTAATCCATTTGAGGTGATTTGGGCTCTCCTAAACCTTGCTTGATAAACAAAAAAAATCCTGATTTAAAAGACCAAAACACCCTCACCATATCATCACCTAGTCTATTCATCAATTAGCCAAGAATTCACATAGAATCATATAAAATGAAGACTAGGTCTCAGATTCCATTGTTTATGCAGAATAGTTTAATTTTTTTGGTCACATGATAGATGATGAGGTGTAAATTAAGAAGTTCAATGAAGCCCAATTTTGACTTTTCACATATACGGAGGTGCCCTCTTTTTTTTTGGTCTCGTATCACCAATTCCTCTATATATACGGAAGGGTATGAACATAGGTTGGCATAATTGTTAGAAGTGAAGAGAAAGCTAAAAATGAAGAGCTCCATGTCTCCTCTTGGTCACAGCTCAAAGGTTTCAGAAGAAGAACAAAGAGAAAGGGGTAATGGTTTGAGAGGAAAGAGTGGTACAAGGACTGACGCCCCGGTGAAAAGAGTGGCGGTGGCGCCAAAGAATCCAGAGAGCAAGCCAGCGGAAGATATAAACGAAAGCGCAGAGGCATTCATCAACAAGTTCAGGCAACAACTTCTGCTACAACGCCTCGAATCCATTGAGAATTATGAGCAAATGCTAGCAAGAGGCCACTAATTAATATGGTCTCTTATTTTTTCTTCAACGTGGTATTGTATCTATTTATTTTATTTGTTTTGGAAGGTACGTGGAACATGTTATTGTATTGATTTTACTGTTCCATTGAATTGTTTGATTTGTTTGCTTCTGGTTTTTGATGTGTTCAATGAAGATGTAGAATTGTGGAAACATAGTGTCTTGTTTGTCTTAGATTTTTAGCACTCACCACTTTGATTTGTCCAATATTCATCCTCTTAATGTTAAAATCAAATTTTGAATCACCTCTTTCCATAAATGATTTGTACTAATGAGAAACAACGGTACGAAGGAGCAAATAGCTCAAAAAAGGCCACCAAGAGCCACAGACCAAAAAAAACAGGGCAGCAGTGCACATGATGAGCCAAACATGGACTACCACGCAGACTACAGAGTATGCTCTACAAAAGCTGATGGCCCAAAAACTATATACCACACGCGTTATCAAATGCATGAGTTCGGTAATCTCCACAAACAAATAGACACTAATCTAGATGGTATAAATTCTCCTCTTTAAATGGGAGGCTGAGTGTTTGAGCTTTAATATGGATAAATTATTGCATATGCACGCGTTTGCTTGAACTTTAGGGAAAAAAATTCCCACAATGCTGAACAACAGCTGAAGAAAGGGATTCAATGTTGTGAAAAGCTCTGTGATAAATTACACTACCAAGCCAGAGCTTAAGCACTTGTGGTTGGGGTTGTTGGATCAAGTCGCCACCATGAAACACCATCCAATCAAATCAAACTAACTATGCCACTTTGTTGGATTGATATGCAGGCCACATAAATAGAGATTTTAAGCTATATAACTTTTTGATAGAATCTTAAACATGATGTTTTTGACATTGCAATTACAATTGTAAATAAAATCTACAAAAATAAATGTATTTTTGGAGTATTTAACAATATATATATATATATATATATATCTTTTTTTCGAAAATTTATAAATAGGAATAAGATACAGTGTGGGCCTTTAGCCAAAACTATAAATGAAACTAGCCCAAGAAAGGCAAGACCAAGCAACAAAGCCCAACCCCATAGCCATACAAATACCTTGGATTAACGGACTAAACATTAGCCGTTAAACCAAATTGTCTGTTGCCTTTTCCGGTGAACAAGCCCTAGAGCTAAATGAGCAGAGCTCTACCAAATCAATCAGGTGATCTCGGCGGTGGCCTGCAGCAGGATGGCGAGAGACTCCAGCTTTTGAGGATGAATCTTGATGCTAAGCAATCACGAAGACAACCCAACTTGAGAGTTGAAGTAATGGTGTTGCAAATCTTCCCCAGAACCATTCTTTGTGATGAGATCTAACAAAATATGTATGTGTGCGCGCGCGTGCGCAATTGCATCCCGTGAGCACCTTTTGACCGTTTGAAGGGAGGAAAAAGAGAAAAGGTTTCATTAAAGGTCACACAACACCACCAAATACGTGATCACACCCCCTTTTTTTGTATTATGTTTGATATTGTCATTCAGGTACTTTCAATTTTAAATTTTCATGGTTACAAAAAAAATCCTGATTTTGACACTTCAAATCTTTTGACAACTGTGTTTGGTGAAAAAAAAAAAAAAAAAAAAAAATCTACATTCGATAATTGACTTGTCCTTTCGTACTCATCTATTTTTCATTAACCAAAAAGGATGACACAAACTTTGACACTCCAAAAAAACATCCAATACTAATTTTGGCACTTCAAATCTTTTGACAAAAGCTATATTGATAATTGACTTGTACTTCTGTACTCCTTATATTTTTCATTCACTGAAAACTCTCCACATTTTAAAGGCCAAGTAAAAATGAATATAATATATAGTATATGTGAGCATTACCTACCAGTAAATACTCCACGCATTAAAGTGAAACAATTTGATTCCAGAGTTATCAACTTGGAGGCAAAAGTACAAATACTCCAAAAACCAGACTCAAGACTGGTTGGGATCCAAACAGAATTACAAATGAATCAAAACCAAGCTGATAAAAGCTTCAACTTATATGTGTGCGTGTAATATTATCTTTATATATTTTTCATAAACTTCATTTACACATTTTAAGACATAAAAAAGGGCTACAATTGTTATAGAAATCACTCAAATATTCAAAATATGAACCTGTCAATCATCATTTAATTGAGAGTCTCACAAAAAAAACAAACAAGTCTACTAACATTCCAAGTGAATGAAGTCATCGCAATGACCATTTTTCAGGTCATATAAGGACAACCACATTTGTCTTATTACACTTCATTTAAATTAAGAAACTTAAACAGCAGATGCACTCAAGACATCATGCCCATTGCATCCAATGCCCCTAAGGCAGGACAACACGCATCTGTTGTTGATGCTGCTGCAACATCTGCATTTTCACTTGTGAGCACGACGGAGCCATCTCTCCGGCGAGTGGAACAACCGGCAGGTTCTCGCAGTTGCATACCTCAACCATGAAGCCATCGGGGTCGTGGAAGAACAGCTGGTCCACGTAAATCCCGCCTTCCTCCACCCGTTGCCGCAAGTACACGATCTCCATTTCCTTCAGCTTCCTCTCCACTGCAGTCATGCTCTCACACTGCCCAGAAAATAAATAAAATTACATACCGAAAATATATAAATTGCTAATATTAGTGATATGCTTAACCTATATCCCCCACCCACCACAACTGCCTCCAAATTTGTCATTCATGTACAGAAACTTCGATCACTTTCCCTTTGGACCAAGTTCATGCATTTAATTCAATGCCGCATTGGAAGCTCTTTATTATAAGTATGAAACACACATAACAAGAGTGCTAGAAATTTTTAAGACTGTTAACTACTTAACTCCAGAGGTCATATCCTTTGGTTCTCATAAAGTTATTCATTTTCTTTGATCACTCAGATGCTTTCTAAAAACTACTTACCAAGTATTTCTTCTCTCTTCATATTTTCAAATATGAGAACATTTTTTGTGATGCTAATCGAGATTGTACTAGCATAAAAAAAAAATAAAAAAATAAAAAAAAATTCGTAATTTTTTATACATATTCCTCTTTCCTAGATGTCTTGTCTGTAAAATTTAGACTGACTTAAGAAAAGATCACCGAAAATATTTCATAAAAAATTGAGGATTTCTTGTTAAAATTGGAGAACCATTAGATATATCTTCTTATCACTTTATATAACCTTTCTTCTTTTTATTTTTATTTTTATTGGGCATTGGTGTTTGCTGTTTCTTTTCTATTGGTCATCTGGTAACAACTAGCTGCGTATCACATTCGTTAATAAATTATGTAATAACAAATACTTCTCAAATTAAATGTCCACATTTCTATTTTTGACAGTATCAAAATAAATATCTCATTTTAAAAGTCAAAGTACTATTTTTTGCAATATTATCAATTTAATCTTCTTAAATTGAAGATTAAAAAAAATAAATAAAAAAATAAACAAACACATCATCTGAATTGACATGATTGATAATTCATTCACTATCAATATAAAAAAAAATTATTAAAATAAATTAAAAAATTAAATTCCTTTAATTTGAGATGGAGGGAGTACAATTGAGTATAGATGGTGCAAAATTTTATTTTTTCTATCAAGCAAACTGACATCCACTGTATGGGAGATGGCTAGAGCATATTGATTGGTGCAAATTTCCCTTACATGTGTGTAATGCATGTTTATACATACATATACCGTATGTATCAGACCATCATATATAACAAAACATTTTAATACTAAAATCAGAAAATTAAGCAAATATAAGCTCTGAATGTATAAACATAAAGATAATAATAAATGCGAATTGAATTTACCTGGAAAGAAATGTGATTATCCTTGGGATCGATTTCGCTTTTCTTTGCCATGTTTTCTGGGTCCTCTGATTGCAACAGATGTATTCCAATTCCATAGCTAAATAGCCTACACATACCACATAATTAAAACGGCAAAAAAAAAAAAAAAAAAAACCACCAACCCAAGATTTTCCCTAGAAAAGAATAGGAAAATATTTTGTTTCATGTTTCCAATCTATTATCCTAGGTGAGTTTTCTTTGATTTTTACCATCTTATTTCGAAATGGGTTCTTTATTTTTATTTTTTTGTATGAACTTACCATGCTCCATCAAAATTAAACGAACCGGGCCTCCTGACTGGGACAAACCCAAGAACATTCTGGTAGAAATCAATGGATTTCTCAACTGATCTGCATACGAGTGAGATGTGGTTCAAGGAAGTCAGGTGCAAAGGGTTTCCCACACTTTCCTTCATTTTCTCGAGAAAATTTTGATTCAAGAACCAGCTAGAACTGATCAATTAAAGACCAACAATTTATCAAGACTGGGCAAAGGGATCCCAGTAAGAACAGATGTTTATGGAGGAGATAGAAATTAGAGATTTTGGGAGATTGAAGAGATAAAAGATATACAATCTGAGGCTCTGCTGAGCTAGTGACGATACTTCAAGATATTGGAAGCAAGCTAGCAAGAGTTGGTATATAAAGAGACGTGAAGGTTCTTCATGCTTGCCTCCACGTGTGCGTCAGTCCAGCTGTCAGATTTTGATGACCTTTGACACGTAGCTTCCACATCGGTGACCCGATAAGGACTTGACCCTTCATTACTTTCGCCCTGACCACGTAAGATGCCACCCCATCTAGAGATTCGGACCATTACTGACCATTAAGAAGAAAAAAGGAAGTGTGCCTCTTTCTCTCTCTTCTCACCGCGTTTTGTCTCTCTCTTTGATTAACCTTAACCCACATTTCTCTCCCCTGGTTAACTCTAAAATCAACTTTTTTATTTCTCCCTTGCCTGCTGTCTCTTTTTCTTAGGTGAAGTTTGCGTCATTTGTATTTCTCTCTTCTTCTTCTACTCCATCTTTCATGTTTGGCCTAGAGTGAATTTTTGTCCGATAATAAATCTGCCTAGCAGCTGTGGTATGCAATCTTGATTCATCCGATCGTCTTCTTAACGTAGAATTATATCCCGAATAAATCTGCCCCATTCAACTTCTAATTTTTTTTTAATTTTATATAAAAGGATTTTTATATTTGTATTATTGCCCTCTCTAAAGTTTAACCATGCACACATAATATAATATACATATAAAACTAAAAGTCCATTCACAAGAAGAATATAATTGTGACATAATTGTAAATACATATAATATATCTCTCAATTTATACTTTCCCAAAAAAATATGATATTTTTTTTCACTTTCTTAAAATATTATATTATTTACCACTTTCCAAATAAAAATAAAAAAATTCGTCAATATATCCTACCACACTTTTTGACTTTACCATAAATAAATAAATTATTTCCATCACATCTTCATCTTTAACATTTTCCACGATCTAAACAAAGCAAGCAAACCAGTAGACAGAGACTCAGTCAGTCATACAACAGTGCGGCAGACAGGTAATTTGATATATTTTTTTTATCTTCTAAATTTATTATTATTTGATATTATAATTTTAATTAGAAAAATTATTAATTATTACTATCAAAATTATTTTAGGGCAAGTTGTTCTTTTAAATTTAGTTAGTGTGTGTGTGCCTCTTTTTTTTTTTTTTTTTTTTCACATATGTGATATATTAGAACAGGTAGATGACTGTATTATTTTCTTTTTCATATATTGTTTTGGTTTAAAATAAATAAATAAATATATATATATATATATATATATATATATATATTATTACTATTAAAGATTGTCCCCACATAAAGAAATTTTTGGTATGCCATTGCAGTTAGAGACCCGAGGAATTAAAGTTGGTAATAGGTTTTAAGATTTGACTTTATTGAAATTCCATATAGAGGATTAGAAGGATGGTATTTCTTGTTGGGTTGGAGTCCAGGAATGAAGTTGGGTACATTTTTTTCCTACTTAGGTCTATATCCTAATGGATCACAAGTTGCTAAAGGCAAGTAACTGGCTAATAGTTTGAGGATGTATTAGTTGAGAGTATTAATCAAGAGAGAGAAAGAGATGTATTCGTTGTGAATGTTAAACATGAGAGAGAAAGAGAGAACGTGAAAAAAAAAAAAAAAAAAAAAATTATTTGTTTTTTTTATTGCAAATGATTCTTTGTTAATTAATTAATTAATTATCTCTCCTAAATCCTTAAAAGAATTAATTCTCTCTTCCAAATCTTTAAAAAAATAATTGTATAACTTATAAGAAGGGACTCTTTAAACTTTTTGCGAGAGCGCTGTATTACTCTATTATATTAATATTTAGCTTTTTAAATTTCAAGTATGCTGATTGCAGATAGCCTACTATGTGGATTTATTTAATTTAATTTTTATTATTGTCTTTTAGCACTTTTTGCAAATTTATTTTATTTTATTTTTAGTATTATTAATTTTTTTCCCACACCACTAAAAGTAGGTGTGGCGACTAGGCAATGGATGTCCTGAGGAGCCTTCTAGAAACTTTTTATTTGTTCATGCCACGTGTACGGCTTAAACTTCTTGTTAAAAAGGCGGGAATTATTATTTTTTATTTTTGTCATTCCAATTAAAGTTGGTTTCTTTTTTTTTTTTTTTTTTTTTTTTTTTTTTTTTTTTTTTTTTAACGTCATTCCAATTAAAGTTTATCATGATGGGGCAACTGATTTTGGATGCGTTGCCTCGTTGTTAATTCGAGTTGTGGGCACACGTGGGAGCGTGTTGAGCACGAATGAGTTGGTGTACTATCCACGTGGTACATTTAAAGTGAATACCTCTCAAACTGTTTAGTTATATATCATTTTCATAACGCTAAATGATGATTATAAATATAGTAAAACTCTATTAAAGAAAGTTGTTATAAAAATGACGATAAAATTATTTTAAACAATATTTTTATAAAAAATGATAATAATTTTTTTTTAAATAATATTTTTACCAAATAAATGTTAAGTACTCTAATTGTAAAAACTATATATATCACCAAATACTTAATATATTTTTTGTTAATATCAATTTTGTGACAATTTTGCCTGATAAGAAAGAGCCAAATAAGCCGGTAAAGGTCATTTCTACCTTGTTGATTTGATTATTTATAGAAAGAAAAAGAGTTTTAAGGGACATTTTAAAAAGGTTGGAGTGAGTAGACTGTGACAATGAACTTCTAGTAACATCCTAGCCAAGTGGACAATTGGGAACGCATTATTAAAATTACGAGCAGTTGAATATATATATCTCTCTCTTACGCATGCATTTAAAGGGCCCACTTGGATTGATGAAAGAAAGTGAAGGATGAAAGTTTAAACTAGTGTTTATTTTAAGAAAAAAAAGGAAGATGAGATTTGCCTCATGTTTTTTTATTTTTAATAAATTTTTTAAAAAAGGTAAATTACTGTTTTACTTTTAGCACTCACAAAATTTAACAAACATTTCATTCCATTTGTTTTTCGTTTATTTCTCGAATTATTGAGAATAGCGGAATGATCAATAATATATATATTTTTTAATGTTATTTTCTAATTTCTATTTCCTCTTGATTAACCAAAGGAAGCCTTACTGACCGGCCCCACTGCATAGCAAAAAGTAAAGGAAAACAACAAAAGAAAAAAAAGGAACATACCACTTCAAAGTTCAAACAATTGTATTGTGCATGCTATCACCAAAAAAACAACGTTGGGTTGTGACTAAGACACGTTGAAGTAGACATTTACAAGTTAAAATAATGTTTGTTTTGCTCAAGTAATCACATCCCTAAGTAATACAAAGCACACTATCAAGGGTTGGTGGATCTAATGGTACATCAGGGTTGGCTCCACACAATTGAAACCTAAAAAGGCTAAAATGAAAACTTTAAGAGTGGGCTCCAACACAACGAATTCCAAGTCCCTTTTACTATGATCAATTTTTTTTTTTTTTTTTTTTGAGAAAAAAAATACATATTTACTACTTCAGCATTGTACAAAAATTAAAATATTCTTAACCAAACGGTCAAAGCAACCAGTTGTTTAGGGAAAATGATATTTTCAGCGGCAAAAAACAAACCGACAAATTATTGATTTCAACGTAACAATAAATAAATGATTTTCTCAAGTGTTCCTATATTATATTAAATATAGTAAGTTTTCTTAGACAAAAATACCATTACAGTAATTTTCTTCCATGTCTTCTTCACCTTTTTCTCTCCTAACTCTCGTATGATTAATTCATTTCTTTTTTTATCGTCTTCATCTTTTTTCCCTCTGTATGCTAATTCTCTTTACATTTTTCTTTGAAATTTTGCTCTTTATAAAATATTTTATCCACTAAAAGACTCGTTACAGTGAATGAGATTTTTATACTAATCTGTTGTCTTAATATCATATAAGATTTTCATCCAAGAAAAAACAGATAGAAAATAAAAGAGAGAAGATTTTCGATGAAAGATTTTCAATTTTCTTCCACTTCCAACTTTAAAGCAATTAAGATCTGGATATATGGAATTTTGTTAATTTTTTTTCTCTCGTCTCTCATATACACACACATTGAGAAAGAAGAGTAAATCAAGATGAGAGAAAATAATTAACAGAAGTTCCACAAACCCAAATCTTTAAAGATTCAATTTGATCGTAATTTGGGCCGTCAAATTGGTGCTTGATTGCGTCGGCAGTAGATATTCACTGTCTCCGCCATGTTTCCGATGATGATTGCAGTTTCACGACGTTCCACAAAGAGAATGTGGAGAGAGGATGGACATTATCTCTTTATTTGGATAGAGAGAGAAAAAAGATTTTCTAATTTTTGTTAACAGGTGTGTTGATATATTTAGATTTTAAAATAACCCATACAATAACGTACATGTGAAAGTTGTAATAATAAGTATTTTTAATAAAGAAGAGTAGTAATATAAGATTGAATTCTGCAGTTACAAAATTCAAGTTATGTGAGAAGGGGTAGATTCTATTGCATAACGTTATGATGACATTATATAGATCATACAGTGAGACTCGTCATCTCTTTCACATAAATTAAATTATATAATTATCGAATTCAATTTCTAAATCATTATTCAATAAAAAATTATCAAATTATTCTATTGATTCAAAAAAATTATTAACCAAGAATTATGAAATTATTCTATTGATTCAAAAAAATTATTAACCAAGAATTATGAAATTATTCTTACTTTTGAACTTTTAGTATGGATGGTCAGTTATAGACGCTATAATATCACTTACAAACCACCAATTTAATTCTTTTTTCACTTAAAAACAAAATAGCATAAACTTGCATTTTTAGTTAAAAATTCAAAAGGTAACCTCGAAAATTAATCAAACATATAAAGAGAAATCAAGACTTTTTTTTTTTTTTTTTTGGCAAGAAACTCACACAGTCACACACACCACTCACTTTGCTAACTCCTTTGAAGATTCAAACTCTCTTCATTCACTTTAAAAGTAAAAAAAATACTACTCATCGTCACAAGACCTCTGATAAAAGAGAAACCAAGAAGACTTTGAATGCTTTAGAATTGA